CCACCCCTCCTCCACCCGCCAGGCGCAGGGCCACCACCGGGACCCCCCACCCCCAAAGCAGCCCCCACCTATGGCACCGGGCAGCCCCTAGGGACCCTGCAGCTTGTGGGCACAGTGACAACGTTCAGAAAGAGATCCAGGCTGAAAAACAGCAAAGTCCCTATAGTCCGGCCAGGATGCTGCCCCTCTCCTCCAGCTCCCCAGCTGCTGTTTCAGGGACTGATCACATCTCTATTTACAATATAGAACACGAGTGCGGGCCGGACGCTGCGCTCCCAGGGGCTCTTCCACGCAGGAAACCATTCAAAGCTGGAACTTGCTCCCTGTGGTTTGTTATTTTTTTTTCTCTTTTTTTTTTCTGTTTTGTTTTTCCTCTTTTTTTTTGTCTGCTTTTTTTTTCTCATTTTGTTTTGTTTTGTTTTCTCTTTAAATGTCTTTTTGTTTGTTTCAAGGACAATAAAAAGTTGCGATCAGGCAGGACTTGAATGTCATTCCTATAAGATTCGTATTTACAGGAGTCTACAGCAAAGAGACAGGCAGCTGGCTCCCCGTGCTCGGGGACACTCCTCCTCCTATGCCCCAGGAACTCCACCAGCTCTGCGTGGACCTTTGGTACGTAAGCCCTTCTCTCCCTTCTCCGTGCCCTCCGCACCAGGAGCCTGCCCAGCCCTCCCCGGCAGCAGTTCGGGATGCTCGGCAATGGGGTCGGGATGCTTTTCACCTCCCCACCCACCCCCAGCCCCGGGCAACAGGGGGTTAAAAAGGCGCTCCTCTCATCCCTGCCTCGCCCTGCCCTGCTCCCCGCAGAGCCCCCTGCCTGGAGAAGCGGCCGGAGCCGTAAAGCATCGAAGTGGAAAATGTTCCTCTGGCCTCAGCTCCCTGCCCCTCACGCCCAGCCTCACAGGTAGATCTCCCTCTTGGTGGTCTGGGCCGAGGGGGTGGTGGCTGGCTGGAAGTCCGAGGTCTGGGTGAGAGGAATTTCCTCCATGGGAGAGTCCTTGCAGGGCTCATGGCTACTATTGGAGAAGGCACTGTACGTGGGGAGCAGGCGGAGGTTGGCCATTTTGGTGCTGCGCTCTTCCGACAGTCTGGGGCTGCCGTTCCCGACTTGCTCTTGACTCCCTCTGTCTTGGTAAGGCACAAAAGTGGAGAGTTTGAGGGCGTTCTTGGGCCTGCGGCTGGGGGAGGACTGGCCAGGCATCCAGCAGGTGTCGGAGTGGCCGAACTCTGTGCACTCCCGGGTGCAGGTCCCAGTCATGGCTACATCGGGCAGAGGCCGGAGATCTGCGGGGAACAAGGGACAGCAGTGTTAGC